GCCACCACCAAGTGCTGACGCGGATGTGGAGCAACAGGGACTCTTGCTGCTGAAATGTAAATAGGTAAGGCTGCTTTGTAAGACAGCTTGGAATTTCCTTACAAAATGTAAGATACTCTTTCCATATGATCCAGCAATTACATTCATGGGTATTTACTTAGAACAACTGAAAACTTATGTCCACTCAAAAATCAATTTGTGATTGTTTATAGCAGTTTCATTCATAGTTGTCAAAACCTAAAAGCAACCAAGTTGCCCTTCAGTAGGTGACTGGATAAATAAACTGCTGTCCATCCAGACAGTGGAATACTATACAGCACTAAAAAGAAGCTAGCTAGAAATGAAAAGATGTCAAACACTCTTATATGAATATGGTTAAATGAAATAAGTCAATTCAAAAGGCTACACTGTATGATTCCAACTTTATCACATCCTGGAAAAAAAGCTAAACTGCAGACAGAGAAAAAGATCAGAGGTTGCAGGGACTGGGATGGGGAGAGATGAGTAGGTGGAACAGAAAGGATTTTTAGGTCAGTAAAACTGGTCTGTAAGACACAGTCATGATGGCCACTTGTCACGATACATCCTTCCACAGCCATAGAGTGTACCACACCAGGAGTGGACCTTAACACAAGCTGTGGACACTGGCTGACACACGTGTCCAGGTAGGCTTGTTGGGTATAGGGGAGGCACCCCTCGGAGCCAGGTGTCCATAACGAGGAGGCTGTGGTTTCTGTGTGAGTGGGCACAGGTGGTAGATGGGAAATCTCTGTGCCTTCTGCTCATTTTTCCTGTGTGTGAACCTCAAACTACTCTTAAAAGTAATTTTTAAAATACATGACTCATCCGAATAATAAAGACATGAATGTCAGAGGCAGCAGGTTTGTTGAATTATTTCCTTATTATTAAATAAAAAAAAAAATCAAAGGTGGCATGCTGAGGGCGATCAAAAAAAAAAAAAAAGACAAAGAAAGTGGAACTAGAATTTTCAACCCAGCGCAGAACATTCCAGAGTCTTGGCTGTCAATGCCAGAGCCAGTGTTTTTCGAGCAGCAATGCCTTCTCGCTCATGAGCCCATGTGCCGGCTTGTAGCGGGGCCTGTGTGAGGCAGCGAGGCAGAGCTGCGGGAGGGGCTCACTTGTGGCGCTCGTGCTTCCTGCGCCGCGGGAGCGTGGCCGCGGGGCCGGCGTCTGGATGGACACACGGAGCAGGGCCTGGGCCACCGCGCCCCGCACGCCGCTTTCCTGGGGCACGCTCTGGCCGGGCGGTGCAGAGCACATAAGCCCAGAATAAATTCCGAATAAATCACCACAGGTTATTGTAGCCCCTGAACTGCGTACGGAGGAGCCGGAGAAACGGCATCGCTGGGGCGTGCGGGGGGCAGGCAGGCGGCAGGGCCTGGGGGGCTGGAGCGCTGCCTCTGAGGCCCGAGAGCAGTGAAGGGGTCAGGGCGGGAGAACAGGAAGGAGTTTCAGAGCAGGAGCCCCGGAGCCTGGCGAAGGAGTGAGCGGCCAGGCGGCACAGGCCCCGTGGGGCGCCAGCTCAGAGGCCCCCGCAGGCTGGCTCGGTCCTGGTGGGCCTTGTGGTAAGTTCCGCCATGACAGGAGACACCTCAGAGCTGCAGTGAAGGGCTGGGGTGTGTGAGGGGCAAAAAGGAGTAATGCCCATCTGTACCCCTCCCCACCCTGGGACCTTCCGGGGTGTCCTGTGACTGTAGAGGTTCGGGTCCAGACTCGGGGGCCAGGCATGAGGCAGACAGACACACACGTATGTGTGCGTGTACACGCAGCCGGACGGGGGCAGGGAATCTCCTCTAGGGAGAGGAGGGCGAGGACAGAAGGCGTTGGGGGGACCCGGGGGGACCCCTGGGGCACGGTTGGGTGAGGTGGACCCGGGTGTTCCGGGCACCTGCAGTCACGGCTCGCTCAGCGCGGGAAGGGAAGCCTCTGCGCGGGGATGTTTACAGCACGTCCTTTTCCCGGCGCAGCGCTTCTTCCTCAGAGGACAAGGGCCGCGCGTGTTGTCCGGGCCGTGGTACAGCCCGAGAATCATCACTTCTGCGACATGGCCGCTGAAAAAAATTATTTTGCGAGGTTTAAGATAAGACTATCTTACCCCCTTATGGCGTCATGGTGCTTATAAATAGAAAATGTCTGGTAAGATGAAATCGTCACAAGATAATGCAATTAACGCAAGATTATACAATTAACTTGATCAGATCAGGTCTGATAAAGCGTAAATCTTAAGGCTCTGAACATTATTTGCACATTATTGTTGGGAGGAAATTGCAGAGCTCACTTTAAAGAAATCCGTGGCTGGATGTCCAGCGCCTGGGCTTTAGAAAGGTGCTGGGGGGGTGGGGGGGTAGAAAAAATAACAATAATCAATTACAAAGATGAGGGGCCTCCTCCTGGCATGTATTCATTTCAAGCAAACAGCAGGTTTACAAAGTAGCAGATAAATTTCCATTTTACCAAATTAGATGTTTCGGGGGCTGTCATCAAAGAGCACGGCTTCTATTTGTCAGCCTAAAATCTCTCGCAAGGGCTGGTTTCTGCTGATGCTGCAAACTTCTGTTTTCCAGGAGCCGGAGCTGCTCTGCCGGGAGCCGGCAGGCCTCGCGCGCTCCCACCGCTTTTTAAAAAATGTTCCACTTAAATTAAAATTTCCCCTTAGGAAGCAAAAAAAGAGGGCGAAGACGCCGACTCCTAGTGGGGTTCCTCCTGCCCCACCGCAGCCTCACGGGCTCCTGGGCCCCGGGTGGGCCAGGCGTGTCCTGCCCGAACAGCCGCGCAGCCCGGCCTGTCCCGAGGTCTCCGGCCGGGGGAGCGGGCTTGGGGCCCGTCCTGGGGCGCGGAACCCCACTGCGCTCTCAACAGCTGCACCCCCAGACAGCACCTCGCGGCCTGACCTCGGAGCTCAGCGTGGCTGGTCAGCTCACCCCGGGACGCGTCTCGGGGTCAGCTTCTGGAGCCAGGACCCTGCCTTCCCTTCAACAGAAACTGTATTTATTTCAAAAAGCAAATTTCAGTCCCTGCCTCCCGGGCGCCCACAGCCCTGGAGAGCTCGCGCCTTCCCCACGGCCGCCACGCAGCCCGCGTCCTGCTCTGCTCGTCGTAGGCAAAGAAAAGCCGAATTTAGCCAAGATTCCCCAGCGCGTTCCTTCTGGGCCCAACACCGCGAGGTGCCCGCAGTTTGCATGAAAACAGCGCGCGGAGCTGGACCGGCCCAGCCCTCAGCCAGAACGCGGGGCGCCCCGCGCGGCGGGGGAGCGAGCACCCCGCCGGGTGTCCCCAGCGGGGCCGAGTGCGCCGGGGGACTCGGGGCGCGGGCTGGCCGTGCGGGGCGCGCATCTCGGGGCCGCGGCCGGCCGGGCCCAGCCCCTGCGCCCTGGCTCGGGGCCCGCGGACGCTTCTGATCGCCCCGGAGAAACGAGCCCCCGGCGCGGCCGGGCGGGCGCCCCCAGCGTGCGGTGCGCTTTTCTCCACGAGAGCCCCGGGCGGGCGCGCAGGCCGGGGTCACCCTCCCCAGCCCGAGCTGCGGGAGCGGGGACCGGGGACCATTTTGTCATCCGGGTGGGGGCGGGGCGCCGGGCCTGGGCGACGCGGTGACTGCGGGGGCGCCCGAAAGGCTGCGGTTGGGGGGCTGTCCGGGCCCCGCGGCTGCCCCCAGCCGCGCGCCGGGCAGGTCCGGGGACCCCGCGCCGCGCCCCCGCCGGGGCGCGAGGACCGGCGGCCGCGCAGGGACCGGGGCCGCCTCCCGCCGCCCAGACCCGCGCCGCGGGGCTCCCGGGCCGCACAAAGGCGGGCGCTCGGCCGCAGCGCGGGGGGCGGGCGGCGCGCGGGCTCCCCGGCCCCGCTCGGGCCAGCCCGGCCCGGCGCACCTGGTTCTGTTGGGTCGGAGCCTCCCGGCTGCGGCGCGGCGGCCAGGGGCGGGCTCCCCTCGCCGGTCCCGGCGGGGTGCGGGGGCGCGGGGGGGCGCGGGGCCGAGGGACCCGGAGGGAGCGGGTGGGGGCGGGGGCGCGGGCGAGCCGGGGCGGGGCGGGGGGCCGGGGCGGGATCCGGGGGCGGGGGCGGGGCGGGGCCGGGCCCGGCGGCGCGCCCGGGAGTGGCCAGCTTGAACGCCGGACCCGGCCCGGCCCAGCCCCGCGGACCGTTACTCCGGCCTCCGCCGGGGGGGCGCGCGGCGCGGCGGGGGCGGACGGCCCGGGGCGCGGGGCAGACGGCGGGGCGCGGCCGGGGAGGGGCGGCCGCGGGCGGCGGAGGCCGGGCCGGAGGCCCACGTGTCCGGAGGCGGCTGTGTCGCGGCGCCCCCTTCCGGCGGCGGGGCCGGCCGGGCCGGGCCGGGCGGGGGGCGGGGGCGCGGGGCGGCTGCGCCCCGGGGCGCCGACCCCGCGTCTCGGAGGCGCGCCCGTGGGCCCGGGAGCGAGCGCGCCCGTGCGCCGCGGGCCTGGGGGCCGCGCACAAAGGGGCCCCGCCGCCGCCGCGCCCCAGCAGCCCGGGCGGCGCATCTGTGCGCACACGCGGATTTTTTAAAAATAACACATTTCCAGACAGGCCCCCGCCCCCCGCCCCCCGCGCCCCCCGCCCCCCGCCGGCCGCCCGGGGCGGGGCCGCGCCGCCGAGAAAGGGCGCGGGGCGGGGCCGCGCGGCCATTGGCGGCCCGCGGTGACGTCACGCGGCGGCCCCCCAGATAACTAGTTGGGCGCGGGCCTCAACTTTTCGCAGGAGCAGCGCGCGCGCCCGGAGTGCGGTCCGGGTCCGGCGCCGGCGGCGGAGCCACGCGCCGAGGGTCGGGCAGGGCGAGCGCCCCGGGCAGCTCCCGCGCGGGCGGCCCGAGCCGCCGGGGCAGCGCCGCGGCCGCAGCCGCCGGGCGGGGCGGGGGCGGGGGCGCCGAGGACCCGCCACGCGCCCGGGAAGGTGGAGGGGCGAGAGGGGGAGGGGGACCCCCGCACGAGCGCGAGCGGCCCGGGCTGGCGCGCCCAGCCCCGCGGCGGGCCATGGTGCAGCAGGCGGACGGCGCGGAGGCGGAGAGCCACCTGCCCCGCGACGCGCTGGACACCGAGGAGGGCGAGTGCATGGCGGGCAGCCCGGCGGCCCTGGACGAGAGCGACCCGGACTGGTGCAAGACGGCGTCGGGCCACATCAAGCGGCCGATGAACGCGTTCATGGTGTGGTCCAAGATCGAGCGCAGGAAGATCATGGAGCAGTCCCCGGACATGCACAACGCCGAGATCTCCAAGCGGCTGGGCAAGCGCTGGAAGATGCTCAAGGACAGCGAGAAGATCCCGTTCATCCGCGAGGCGGAGCGGCTGCGGCTCAAGCACATGGCCGACTACCCCGACTACAAGTACCGGCCGCGCAAGAAGCCCAAGATGGACCCCGCGGCCAAGCCCAGCGCCGCGCCGAGCCCCGACAAGGGCGCGGCGGGCGGCGGCGGGGCGCGGGCGGCGCGCGGCCCGCCAAGGGCGCGGGCAAGAAGAGCGGCAAGCCCCGCGCGCCCGCGGCCCCCGCGGCCCCCGGCGCCAAGGCGGGCGCGGGCGCGGGCCGGGCGGCGGCGCCGGGCGAGCCGGGCGGCGCGGGCGAGGACGGCGCGCGCGGGGGCGCGGGCCGGGCGCTGCGCTGCGTGTTCCTGGACGACGACGAGGACGACGAGGACGACGAGGACGAGCCGCCGCTGCGCGCCCGGCCCGAGGCGGACGAGGACGAGGACGACGCGCCGCGGCCCGCGCCGCCGCCGCCCGGCCCGCAGCCCCCGCCGCCGCGGCGCTACAGCGCGGCCAAGGTGCCCGCCAGCCCCACGCTGAGCAGCGCGGCCGAGTCCCCCGAGGGCGCCAGCCTGTACGACGAGGTGCGCGCGGGCGCGGGCGCCGGCGGCCGCCTCTACTACAGCTTCAAGAACATCACCAAGCAGCACGCGCCGCCCGCGCCCGCGCCCGCGCCCGCGCGCCCCGGGGCCCCCGCGGCGGCCGGCGCGGGCGGCGAGGACGCCGACGACCTCATGTTCGACCTGAGCCTCAACTTCTCGCAGGGCGCGCCCGGCGCGGGCGAGCCGCCGCTGGGGGGCGGCGCGGCCGCGGGGAACCTGGCGCTGTCGCTGGTGGACAAGGACCTGGACTCGTTCAGCGAGGGCAGCCTGGGCTCCCACTTCGAGTTCCCCGACTACTGCACCCCCGAGCTCAGCGAGATGATCGCGGGGGACTGGCTCGAGGCGAACTTCTCCGACCTGGTGTTCACGTACTGAGGCGCCGCGCGGGGCCCCGGGGGCGCGGGGCGCGGGCGCGGGCGGGGCGCAGCCGGGCCGGGCCGGCCGGGGCCGCGCCGCGGCGCGACACAAAGAGACGGCGAGAGCGGCCGACCCAGCCGGTGGCGTTCCCGTGGAGCGAGCGGTTCCGACCCCTCCCCGCCCCCCTTGTCCCCCCCGCCCCGCCCGCGGCCCCCGGCGGGCGCGCACCTGGCCGGGCCGGCCCCGAGCGCGCGCGGGACCCTGGCGAGGCCGCGCTGGCGGCGCGCGGCGGGGCTCCGGAAGGCGCGGCCCGGGCGGCTTTGAAGTCGCGGCGGGGGGACCGCGGCCGCCGGGGCCCGGGCGGGGTTTTTTTTTCCCCCGCCTCGAGCGATCTCAAAGGACTGGAGAATCTGTTTTTACGCAAACACAGAAACAAAAGGGACCATCGCGACTTTATTTTATTTTATTTTTGGAGGGAGAACACTGATGTCTTCTATGCATCCGACTCTTACCAATACTGCAGGGAGCTTGAAAAAACACAGACTGTGCAAACGCTCAGAACAACTGTGAACTGACTCAGATCAGCGTTTACTGTCCAGATCCGATTGTTTATGGTTTTGCAGACGTGGTTTCTACTTGCCAAGTTTTTTTTTGTAACTCGTTCCCTTATACCTCCGTGAGCGAACACCAGACAGCCTAGACCTCAGTGCAAAGGTATTGAAACATTTTTGATACATAACAGACCTCAGTCTTTTTTAAAAATTAATATATTTTCAGGCGTATTTTTGTACAGTGGAGAGGGGACATTCTTGCTGTTTTCCAGTGAGACTTTCAGCACTTCTTCCCTTGGTTTCCTTTCGCCTCTGTTCTCAGCACGCGAGTCTGTCGGTACGCGAGCGTCCTGGTCCTGGTTCCGAAGGATTAAAGTTTTGCGCTCATCCTTGCATCTCAAGGCCTTGTGGTTGGACAAAGCAGCAGACTTTTCTGTACAGTGTCGTAGGGATTTGTTCCGTATTTGTAGGTGAAGATTTATGGAGACGGGGACTTGGCCTCGGCGCGCTCCGCAGCCCGCAGGCCGCGCGCGCTGTGTGCGCGCGGGCCCGGCGCCGACGCCGCGGGGGTGGGTGGCCCCGACGGAAGGTTCGAAACTGGATTCTCGATCTTTAGCAAAATCAAAAAGAAAGAAAAGGCACATAGTTTAAAAGTCTCTCATTTTGTGCAATATAATCTAAATAAAGTACAGACCATCTGCAGATGCTGTAGCAAAGGGTGGCCGGGCCGACCCGGCGCGCCGTCGCCTGCCCTGCCCGGGGCTGGTGCTGCGGGGGGGACCCGGCGGGGCCCCCGCCCCCCGCGGCCTCCGGAGGCGGGCGGGGGCGCCGTGCCGCGCGCGGGTGGCGAGGCTGTCGTGCGGGCGGGCGGGGGGCGGCGGGGAGCACCCCGGTTTGGCGAGGCTGGCCTGGGGAGTCTCGGCTTCTTGCTCTCGCGTCGCGGCTGGCGAGGCGGGGCGCGGGGAGGCGCTCGCTGCCCCCCGCTTCCCGGCGCGCCTCCTCCTGGGCGGGCGGCGGGCAGGGCGCGGGGAGGCCCGGGCGCGGCTCCGCGGGCTGGGGCTGCGCGTCGCGGGGGCGGCCCCGCTCTGCCCCGGGGGTGGGGACGGCGGTTTCCAGTTCTGAGATTTTTTGGACGCGGTTTCTCGCGCGCTTGCAAAGGTAGAGTCGGTTCGAGTGGGGCCTCCGGCGGGGAGCGCGGCCGGCGCCCGGGGCGCGGGAGGAGCCGCGGCGCCGCCGGCCAGGAGGAGCCGCGGGCGGGCCGAGGGCGCCGGAGGAGCTCGGTGGGCCCCTGGGGGCCGCGCTGGCGGGCGGCGCAGGGCGGAGGCTCCTGGGCGGCGGCCCCGGGCCCCGGGACAAAGCGCCGCCGCCCCGGACCTCCGCGCCGGCTTCTCTCCCGCCGCCCGGCGCGCTGGGGCGCACCCGCCCGGGCCTGGGAGCGCGCGGGCGCCGAGGCCCCGGGCGGGGCGGGAGACGGAGGCCGGCGGGGGTGCGGGGGGCGCAGGAGACAACAAAGCCGGGAGGAAGCCCCGGCGGCCGTGCGCCCCCGCTGGCCCCGGGACCGGCCCCGCAGGCCCCCGCGCCCGCGCGCCCCTCCCGCCGCCCGCCGAGGGCTCGGGCGCGCCCGGCCGCCCCCCCATCCCCGCCCCCGGGCCCGGCCTGAGCCTCGGCCCCCGCCGGCCCGCGCCCCCCCGCGCCGTGCCTTGCGCCCCCTCTCCGGGCCGCGCCGCGGGGCCCGGGCCGGGGGCGCCCGCGGGCCGGGGTGTTCGGCGCAGAACCGCCGCGATGCGTCCTGGCATCCGCCGAGCCGACTGCCGAGGGCCGGCCTCCATTTTTACTGACTTTTGGGGAGACCGAGTGGAAGCGGCAGGAGGCGCGGGCCGCTCCCCCGCCGCCCCCGCGCCCCCGCGCCCCGCCGCGGACGCAGCCCCCGCGCGCCTCGCCCGCCAGCGAGCGCCGGGCTCGGGGGGACGCTCGGGGGAGGGGGCTGGGCTGGCGGTCGGGACGGGCCCCGGTGGAGCTGGATTTCCGGAGCTGTTTACCTTTTACTTGTGTTTTTCCAAATGACGGCGCGGTCCGGAGCCGGACCCCGCGCCCGGCCACGCGTAATGGAGCCAGCGGTTTACAGTGGAAGCTTCTCGGGGCTGGTGAGGTTCCGTGGCCGCCCTCGCTGCGGTCCCAGATCTGGTGGAAAACAAACCCATTTCCATGAAACCGAGTCTGTGTACTTTGGAAATCTGGGGAGTTGCATGTGTTCTGTGTCTTAATCATAGGTGGACCTTGGACATTTCTGCGGTGAGGTAGGAGCTGGACGGGAAGTGAACTAGTCCCAGGTAATACCTTGGCCTCGATGGAAGCAAATGATCGTGACTAAGGGGGAAAAAGCTTTGTAGCCTAAGTTCTTGATAGTGAAATAAGAGAATAGACGGTCCGCGAGCTGAATTACAAACCTGCTAGATCTCAGGACAGGCGCCCAGCGCGCCCTTCACACTATTTAAGGCTGTTTTGGTGAATGCGTTGTGAAGATCCTTAAAGAATTCTCTATCGAATGTCTAAACATAATATAATACACGAATTTCTTGCCACTGGATAGTCTTCAATAAAGTCTAATTGCATTTTTTTGGTCTCTTAAGCAAGTCTTATTTGAACGAAGCATTGACCGAGTATCTTCAAATGGCAACCTGGGGGTGGGGGCGCCCGAGGCGGTGGAGGAGTCGGTGGGGACCCTGCTGTTGATAACGCGCCCCAGACGGATGAGGACATTTTGGGGCGAGTTCTTCCATCTTGGAGAACTTGAGCCGGCATTCTCTTCTCAGTTCTTCGAGCTCAAAAAAAATAATGCTGATGGAGGCGGTGGCTGAGACTGGGCTAGGCCGGCGCGGTGCGGGCCTGGAAGGGCCAGAGCCACAGGGCAAGTTTTTTGTAGATTCTCCTTTAGCTAGAAAAAAAAGAAAAAAAAAGAAAGAAAGAAAAAATCCTTGCAGCCCTTTTGGGCGAGAGGCTCCTTTCTCATGGTAATGGGGGAGTGTCTTGAATATGCATGCGTTCAGCAGGCGGGACTCGCCGGCTCCCCCCTCCCGGAAAGGAAAAGGGTGGACTGGCCAGACTGGTTTTCCTCCCTGGGACTCGGGACCCTGATCCTTGGAGGCTGGTGCAGAACGAGAAACTCACATTGCTTTTCCGCTTCGGTATTTGAATGACCTTTGCCCGAGGATTCTGAGAAATAAAGCAGATACGTTGCTCTATCTTAAAGTAGTCATTTGATATAAATATATCAAGCTTAGCTTTTTTATTCTGATATGATTAATAGTATGTATATTCTTACTTTTTCTTCTACTGGGCGTATGTCTCCTTGTGGACACTTTTGGAGAGAGGATTTCTGGAACTCTCCCGTTTATAGAATCTTTATACTCTTCCTGCGTGGGTCCCTGCTTTTCACAGATTTCTGAGGCAAATATATTTGTGCTTTTTTCTTACTTGGGATGACCAGCAAAAATAGTTTACTGAGTTGTCGACTTTATCAGTAGATAAGACACTTTCTTTACTGCAGTTTCAGGGAAGATTTTTTCAGGATATTTCTCAGTTACTCTAAGGGTCAAGTTTTATAAAATCAGCACGAGGAATGTCACTTTCAGACACCCTCCGTATAGCCTAGGCCCCGAGGGCTGCTAGCCTGAGCCTTACTGTGCCCTCCCAGGGACCCCCAGTTCCCAAAGCACCTGTCTCCTCGTGACAGCGAGCGCTCTCCTGGCTTACATTCATTCTTCCTCTCTTCGCTCCTGGGTTTCTCCCACCGCCTGCCCTTTCGTGTGCTGACCTGGCAGACCCCGGTCTCGGGCGACCCTCAGTATTCTCCCCTTTTTCTGTGGAGTCCACGTTTTCCGTCCCACTGAAGACGACATGGCATCTCTCCGACTGTGAACTCTTCTTCCATTGTCCTGGCTCCTGGCTTTTTTCTGACCCCCTGGCATACCTTCATTTTCCGTGTCCTGCTTCTTTCTTTCGACGCTGCCGACGTCGGTTAGCTGCCTGGTTCGTTTTATCTCTTCCATGTGGATGCAGTGGGTTTATAAGAGAATTTCACAAACAAGTAGTTTTTTAGTGAACTTAACAGAATTTTAAAGGAGACCTATTTTTATACTCAATGAAAGCACAAAAGTGCGGAAGTATAAAATGGCTTACAAAGGGAAACATACGTTCATAATGTTCCGTGTATGAAAGTAATAATTTTATTGGGTAGAGATACTCTTAAAAGATACAATACCTCTGCCAGTGCACAGACAGGACTGGTGACGATGACTGGGGACCTTCTGTCGTCGCAGGTGCAGAAACCTCTAGAGAAAACAAACCGCCAGAAGCAATAGTGAGACGTGGTTTCTCGGAGCCCCGGTCAGCACCCAGAGGTGCCGTCGGAGGCCCCCTTCTCGTTGTTTGATCAAACTTCTTTTCAGCAGTCACATCCGCTTGGGCTTTCTCTGCTGTGAAA